CTCAAACTTTTTCAGGCAGTACATTGGGTAGCAAGATAATTAGTCAGATATTTGGGCTGGGCCTTTCTATGTTCTGTTGTGTGCATCTCAGACATTTGCTGCCTTTGTCCCACTCAAACCAACTCAAACTTTTTCAGGCAGTACATTGAGTAGCAAGATAATTAGTCAGATATTGGGGCTGGGCCTTTTTATGCTCTGTTGTGTGTATCATCAGACATCTGCTGCTTTTGCCCCACTCACCCCAGGACCTGTTTATATCCATCTTGTCCCTCAGGTGCCTCCTGTGCTGGTCTCCAGAACCAACTGATTGACCAGGGTGGCGTTGAGACAAGCGAGGGGATGCTTTTATAGCTCCCAGTCAGCTGTAGTTCCACCTTCAGCAGCCAACATTCCCATCACACAGCCCAGAAACCCCCTTCCCCGGCTTCAGCAGCCTCTCACACCAGGGAGGGGAAAGATTTGAATTTGCCAGAACAGAGGGGCTTGTTTTCCTTTCTCAATGCTTTTAAAAGTTTCATCTATAGATACATGGGGCTCTTCATCGAACGCTTTCTAATCACAGTGTTTGGGCAATGATTTTATTTATAAGATTTTACTATTCAGTTTAATTTTAATTGAAGAAAGCTATAAGGCAGCTACTTTCTTAATACTCCCTATTATTCACTCTCTGAAGAGGTGACTTTTGCACTGTTTTCTTCACCTCCAGAGGCAGGCTGTGTTGCTGGATCTATACGGAGAGGCACCAAATGGGCTGTTTTTTCACACTGGTGAACAAAGAGCGTTACTGACTCCTGCAGCGGCCTTTATATCCATCTTGTCCCTCAGGTGCCTCCTTGCGCTGGTCTCCAGAACCAACTGATCCTGCAGTGGCCCAAGGAGACCCAGGGAGACTCCAGGTATTTGAAGAGGAGGATACCTCCTCGGTGGTTACAGATTGAGACAGTTGAGGCAACCGGCTTTGAAGCTCTGAGCTCTACAGGATTTCCTCCTACAAAGAGTCCCCTCATGCTGCAAGGTAAAGGAGTAACGTGGCTAAATAATTCTTGATCCTGGTGCTGCAGAAACCAGAATAAAACCCAGGGAGTTGTTGATGCAAAGAGTAGAAAGCAATGTTTTTCAGGATGTTATGTATATACACACCGTTAGTCATGTCTTATTACTGAATCCCTTCTGATTTTTGGTAATTTCAAAAAACCATACTATTCCCAGTAAAATAAGCTTTGTTTCCAGGCTGCCAAACTGAGGAGAACGGAAGATCAGGCCCTAACTCAACACCAATTTAGAACATCTAGCCATTTGCACATGACAGCAAGTTAACATAAGCTGGTATCTACTGCAGTGAAGATATGAGTAACATCCCCCCAGGGCTGTTGAAGAGGAGGATACCTCCTCGGTGGTTACAGATTGAGACAGTTGAGGCAACCGGCTTTGAAGCTCTGAGCTCTACAGGATTTCCTCCTACAAAGAGTCCCCTCATGCTGCAAGGTAAGGGAGTAACGTGGCTAAATAATTCTTGATCCTGGTGCTGCAGAAACCAGAATAAAACCCAGGGAGTTGTTGATGCAAAGAGTAGAAAGCAATGCTTTTCAGGATGTTATGTATATACACACTGTTAGACATGTCTTATTACTGAATCCCTTCTGATTGTTGGTAATTTCAAAAAACCATACTATTCCCAGTGAAATAAGCTTTGTTTCCAGGCTGCCAAACTGAGGAGAATGGAAAATCAGGCCCTAACTCAACACCAATTTAGAACATCTAGCCATTTGCACATGACAGCAAATTAACATAAGCTGGTATCTACTGCAGTGAAGATACGGGTAACATCCCCCAGGGGCTAGAGCTATTTAATAATGAAGGAATTAATTTGTAAAAAATTCCCTGTTGCTCCTCCTTAATACCTGGGTGTATTTTGAAGCCAATATTCAGACAACTACAATTGTTCAATTGATGCAACTCAGTAATTTTTATTGCAACTGGAAGACAATACATCACAGAAACTTTATGGTAGGTTTTGGGAAAGTGTTATTTACAATAATAATTGATGAAATAGTTTGTCTTTGGCAATATGATTACACATCAAGAAAATGTAAAATGCAAGTATGCCTCTAAATCAACATTTTCATATTTCCTAAAGATCAGCTGATTGCACTTGTCTTCGGACTGCTCATTTAGGTAAACACAAATACAACTTAACATCACTGTTCATTCCCCATCACAGTTTGTATTTTGATATTGATGAAATTGGCAGTTTCAGACGCCAAGTACAGGAAAAAAATTGGCTTATCACTGTACTAAATTAACTTATTGGCCAGTTAAGGTCCTGTGACCCTTAAGCACTGATACTAAATCTCTTGGTCTTTTGATTGCTTTATCACTTTTTTTTTTTTCTGTAAAACAAAATATTTCAGAAATTACAGATCAGAGTATAAAAAAAATGTACAAGTCCATAATGCTTTTCATACACACACAAATCATTCCCCCCAACATTTTACATCATGGCAGTTTTAAGTAGTGAGTGTGAATGATGCAGGCATGGAACTGGTTATCAGATACAGGTATGACTTTCAATTGTTGTCCCACACACGTACTCAGGAAACGTACAATGCTCTAGTAACTCAAAATGTACTCAAGTTTAATGTCATCTGAATGCTCAAAATGTACTCAAGTTTAATGTCATCTGGATGAAAAAAAAAAAAAAAAAAAGGAAGTCTTGGGATTTCAGGCCAGAGTAAAAAAATGAAAAGGATTCCCATTTCTAGATGATCAGCCAGCCCAGAATCCAGCACGTAATTTTAGCATCCAGTAAAATCCCTTCTAGCGCTGAGGGCCAGCACAAGTTTCATTTATCCCTTAAACCCTCAGATGATGAGCTCTTGTAACTGCTGGCCTGATCCAAAGCCCAACGAAATCCACTGAAAATAAAAAACTTGAAACAAAACCCCTTCCACTGGCTGTGAAAGGATGTTACATCAGGTCGATTTCCCCCTCTTTGCAAAAGGAAATGTGATACAGTAGAAAAACCATTATATAGCTTCAGATAAATATACCTTGTTTCAATGCTAAAACAAAACAAAATCCAAACTCCCAAAACCAGGAAAGGCTACTTATTAGAACAACTCAAAAGTGACCTTTAAATCATTTCTGGTTTTAAATGTACACCAGCAAAATACAGCACCATAGACACATTAGGTTGAGACTTCTTTTTTTTTTGGTCAGTGAAGCTAGTACTTGTTTGCTGAACTGTGGAAGAATTATAAGGTCATGTACATGATCAAAGATAAAGCAACCCAGCTGACAAGTCTCTGCTTAATTCAAGAATAACCAGTACTAAAAAATAAAAATGCAAAAAATAAAAACCCCTAATAAACCACCATCAATTAATACTTTCTAAATAAAAGGGGATTAACAGATGAATTCACAACGTATGCAGATTTATACAGAACACCGAATGTTGTGTGTAAATCCTTATAAACTCCAGCTCAAAACAGAAACACACAAAATGTATAGTTTGACTTACACATCCCATTTCAAAGGAAAAGAGACATCATTACAACTTGGTAACTGTGCTAACTGCAATATAAACCAAACAGAAATTCAAAGTTTGGCAGATAACTAAGAAGAGGGTTATCACTTAGGTTATATAGCAAAGTGTTGATGTATATTACATAGAGTAGTATAAATAATAAAAAAGTATTATTTAAATTAGATCACAGTGCTGCATTATGTGCATAACAGTGTTTGATATATTACTGGAGGGCTGTGAAGAACACTACTAAAACTTAACTAGTCAGACGGTCAACACTGATATTCTGTTACAATCAGGAGGATGTATGGTTCAAATGCTCTTTTGGTGGCAAAGTCAAGAAAACGTTTCAAAATATTTCCTATAAAATATGCCAATGAGCTTGTTCAGGCAGTACTGACGTACCTGAAGGAGCCGGGTTTGCATTCTCCATGAAGTGAAGTAAAATTACATTGCATCGGAAACTGGATGCGTTCTCTTGATAGTTTTATTCTGATCCTGTTTTCAAAAATGCTGAGGGCCAGATTCAAGGAAAAATGGTAGTAATAGTGAAATGGTAAAGATTTCCAGGAGCGTTTGATTGCCTATAGCTCCACTGACTGCACAGGAGGTAAGACACCTTCAGGTTGTAGAGAACCTCGGACTGTGCCCTTCTACATCGTTAGATGATTTGGGAGCCAAAATCTCGGTGAAAAACAATCACGGCTACGGAGAAAACGGGATAAAGTGTTTTTGTTGTTTTATCCCTGGTGCCATTTGGTGTATGGTTTGGGATTTTGTTCTCTGCTAAAGGCGTCGATGTAACTCTACCTCACTCCAGTGAAGAATGCAGCCCCCAGAGTTCCTCTGCATCTTCTCCAAAGGCAGACAGTAATTCGGTCAAACACTGGGAGCCAAAGCACCTCCTTTGGGATTCCCTTCTCCCGTGAAGGTTGACAGGAGCCAGAACACGGACCTCAACTGAGTTGCCAGTGAGAAGAGAACACAGTCACAGGACAGCTCTGAAGTCCTACCCGGCCCATCTCCTCGCTCCCACATCAGGGTTTTCAGCTGTAAAACCCCTGTGATCTGGGTAGAACTACTGCTGGTTTTGCCAGGAGAAGATCAGAATCAGACTGCTTTCAGCAACAGCTATGGGGTGATACATTAAAGCTGTTCAAGACCTGCGCTTGAATTTTTAAATGCAGGCAAAAAATCTGCATCCAAGTGCAGTAGGACATCCAATTGCTTGCAGAAGGCAAGCACGACCGGCAGGTTTCACCTCCCTGCACACACGGGTGAAATCTGCTTGTGGCGTTAGCTCTGGCCTGCAAAGAGCTTCTTGCTGCAAAAGGCATATTCCAAAGGAACCCCAAGTCCGAGCGACCCTTACAATTCCCACCTAGGAGAAACTGGCCACTGACCGCTCGCTGACCTGCTGGGATTCACCACCTGAGCCCCCACCTGTCTTGGAGAAACGCTAATTTGGCAATACTGATAGAGTGAGGAAAATGGAAAAGTTAGAGAGCTGACGACTTCTCACTCCAAAAAATGGCTTAGTAAGGGAAGCAAACAAGTAAAACCAAACCACCTCACGTCTGCCAAGTGAGAGAGTTCGTAATACAGTGCAATTACCACTCTGTTTTGGCATGATTCAGTCAAAGTAGAGACAACTGGCTTGAAAAGCTGACATTATACTTTTTTTGGAAAACGAATCGGTCTCAAGTCTTATTAAAAAGAGAACCTTTCTGATGGAGTAGAACCAGTTCTGACAAAGATGCCATTGTCAGCCAGGCACAAAAATGTATCAAAAGGTGACTCCTAAATATTTTATACGATTCCAAATTATTCTCATCAATAGTCAGAGTCAGTAAGGACAAGTTGTTTTTAAACTCCAGAAATAATCTGTTGATGGCATTAGCCCTCAGCCAAACTGCTGGTTCCTGAACGTAACTTTGTAAACTCCTACTGAATAATACCTCCTTAGCAGATCAGACCAGGAGCAAGAAATTTTACATGAAAATAGATGCTTACCAACATTTTAGGTTTACCAGCAAGTATATAAAGGAGTCGTTGAAGTCTTAGATAGATTATATATATATATATCTATAAAGATAACTTGCCTAATCAGATACTTATGCAAAATGACTGTTTACTAAGGTGAGTAATACTAGTGGTAATTACGTATTTAGCCACCAAGAGTCCACATTAATGAATGGTACTTGTGGATCAGCAGACACTGATCTCATTTGCACTGACACGCTGCAATCAGTGAAGCTGCTCTGGAATTAGTGTCGTGACTGTGGACAGAATCTGGTCACTGGCACACAACCACATCGCTTTCTCTGGAGGACAGAGCTGGCTGAGCCACAGTTTGAATGCAATTTTCTGTCGCTAAATTTGACTTTTCAGTGTTGCTTTTTGATAAATATTGAACCACTCTCAAGCTGGTACAACTATGCATTAATGAGCAAAGGTGGCAGCAAACTGATGCTGTAGCATTTTATATTTCAGATTACTCTTTCCAAAGTCTGTTAAAAAGATGAAGGACCACGTTTTCTTGTGCAGGGGTTGTGTGGTTCACTGCCTGCAGACTCTGGCCGCAGGGAGCGTGGCTCTGGGACGAGGCTGATTATCCCAGTCCAAGCACACACAGGACAAGCTATGGCTCATTCATCTCTGTGCTACCTGGCCAAGGGACTGGTCCTTCCTGTTTTCCCCAACTTTGTCCTAAGGGCTGCAGGCAGCCGACAAAAATTAGTATCCATCCACTTCTGACTTAACCAAGGCTGGGAATCAACCCTGCGTGCATCGGCCCCCGCACACAGAGGGGTTCCCTGCACCGTCCTTGGCTCCCTCCTTCCTTATCTGCACAGCTGGAGCAGCTCCTGGCTCCCAGGACACGCTGGGCGAGATGGGAGGAGAACAGCGTGTCCCTGTTCTTCCCATGGAGCACAGGAACAGGGCCAGACCAGCCCTGCCTTTCAGTTCTTTGCTTCCTAAACCAACACCCACCACCCCCATCTCTAAGTGCCATCTTTAGTTCACTCCACCGAGTGGGAAAGTCAAACCCTTCTCTAACTCACTCCTCATAAACTAGATCGGCCTTGGTGAAACTGCTGCCTCACACAGTTGTTAGGGATAAATAGAAACCTATTTTCTTTTTGAAAAAAACAGACCATTTCGTTCTGTTAAGTCGTTGGTACCTGGGATTTTCCTCTTTGCCTCTACGATATTCTAAGAGTAGAATTTTTCATGCCAAATTCACGAATCCAGGTGAGAGAGACTGTCTTACTTATTTCACAGCTCCCCTCTGCTGTAGGGATCTCCAGTCTAATAGTCGTCCTCGCCAGGAGAGTAGCACTATACCTGAACCACACGCTCTGTAACACTGGTTTTTCTCTGGACACCTCAGTAAGGCTCTTCACTAACTTCATTTTCTCATGGCAAATTAGCAAAGCTATTTTCTCATCTACTTATTCCTGAATCAAATCAGAGAGTTTTCCTCAATTAACCTCCCATTATTCTCTTGATTCTGTCATACACACTCACTACTAAATTTGCCCTCAGATTATTGCGTCATGTTACACATGTACAGACGAAGAAAGGACACACTTTTACTTTTTTTTCTTTTTTTTTTTTTTTTCTTATTTTAAACAGAAGTAGGGAGAGGGGGGCTGAATGTGCAGACAAGGCAGTATAATTCAACCATCCAAGCCCTACCAGAGCATGAAGATTTTATTTTTTTTTAATATTGCAGAGTAAGTTCCCCAACAGTCAGTGTTTGTCCCTGAAGAAGGTTAAACCTTAAACACCTGCTTCAAAAAAACCCCAACAACAACAAAAAAGAACCAAAACAAAAACAAAACAAACAAAAAAAAATAAAACCCAAAAAAACAAACTCTAAGCCTAAGGGCTTAAAAATTAGAGGCATAGCCTTTTTCTCTATTTTCTATATTTATATGAAAATAATTCATGCTTCATGCTAAATACATTATTTACCTTACAAGAACTTTGTCATCTTTGAATAAAAAAAGAATTGTTTGCTTTTTGTATTCCCCCCCTCCCCAAAGGAATCCATGCAACGCGGATCAAATTTCTTCTGCTGGCTACGCTGGTTGAATCTGGAAATCTGTTGCCATTTTTGCACAGATGAATCCTGACTGACGGCAACTGCACACTCGTTTCCGAGGGCAGTGTAGGAGCTCTGTTGTTGAACTTCTGGATTTTAATGTTCACTAATATGCTTTCCTTTTGTTTTTAAATACAGAATACTACTAGTGGCAGGTTTTGTAGCTTTGTTTCCCCAGTTAGATCAAGGATTTGATCCACAGAAAGAGATTCTGATGTATTTCCTTCCTTAATATCTACTGTAATTTCTAAGATTTGATTGCTTTTCACTCAGGCAGTTTAGAAGACATAGCTTGTTTTTCCCTAGTACTATTATTTTTTGCACGCAGTGCCAATCTTCGGGCTTATGGCTTTTTTGAACATTCTTTAAATTTACTATAGAAGACAGAACTCAATGATTAACGATGCTACTAACAGTGCACCTCCCTCCCATTTCTTCTCCTTATTTCACTGAAACCCATTGCATACACAGTTCAAACTTCCCCAAACTTAGAAGTTACCAGTCTTCACATTATAAGCCACATGTAGAACGTGAAGCACTAAAAAAGTGCGTTAGGCTTTGCACAGTTGCCACCAGTGGCTTGTCCAAAGACTTGTATGGCACAGCATGTCCAAGTGCCACTAGATGGTTCTTGGTTTGGTGCTGAGAAGTACGTGCCTCCTCTTCCCCCCCCAAATCTCTTTATTCACATTCACTTCTAACCCAATCGTTAAGGCCATTAAAAGAAAAAAAGATTCTTAAGGGCCAGGCCTGAATGATTATTAAATTAAGCACAATTTTACTCCCATCACATTAATGTTGATGTCACTGTGTATTCAACCATGCGTTTTTGACAAGCCGGAGAAAGCAATGGCGATTTTGGCTCTTTTGTTTGTTAACTTTTTGTCTTCAGGTAATGAAAAGCTTTTGTAAATTAGCTGAGTGTCAGTATGAGTTCTATGGCTTCAATCTCCTTTAAAAATAAAAATCTTAAGGGTCAAAAAAAAAAAAGAAAAGAAAGAAACGAAACAAAAACAAATAGAAAGAAAAACAAAAAAGGAAAAAATTGCTGATATTGCCACAAATCATTAGAATTCACCTGACGTGCTGAAACAAAACTTTGTAAGTTCAAACAAATCATCGATTTGTTCTAATTTTTTGTGGTTTCCTTTTGCTCTTTCTGCCCCTTTGCCGTCCGATTGGTGATGTTGTTCAAACAGGATCGAATTCCTGCTAAATGCAGGAGGGATCCTGCTGCTTCTTTCATCTCCTCATCATCACTCTCAGGGGGCTTTTCCGTACGTCTCTTTTTAAGAGGCAGTGTGTCACTTGGTACTTTTTTCGCCTTCATTAAATGTTGCCTTTTCTTGTGCTGGGACGCATACCCACTGTCAGCTAAAGAATCCTTGGTCTCCTTCCGATTTTGCTTTTTGTCCTCCTCTTCCGTTTCGCTATGGCTCTCGTGGCTCTGGAAGCTGACTTCACTTCCCTCGCTGCTGTCTTGGCTGCCTTTAGTTGCAAATTCGTACTGGTCGTCAGCAGAGGAAGAGGAAACGGAGTCACTAGCAGGGGAGGTGCTCCTGTGGTTGGAAGATTTGGCACTGCTGTAGTTGTGATCCTCCTTTGGGTCACCGCTAACGACCGGGGAGCCACAGGACTGTTCGCTTTCTGTCCGCATCCGGCAGTTTGTTATTCCATTCCTGCAACAACAAACCAGAGAGGCCTTAGAAGCCACGGAGATGTGTGACCCTGCTTCAGCACAAGCGATGAGAAAGTCAAGCCAACTGACAGACAATCTAAAATTCTGGCTCTCAAAGTAATGTCCATGCAGGGCCGTTTCAAAGCCCGGCTCAAAGGGCTGGTGGACTGGACTCCGCACGTAAAACAAACCAAAAGACATGGAACAGCACAAGAGGCAGGGGAGAGCAGGGGATCGTCACAAACTAGTGATGTCTGAACAGGCCTGATGGACGTTTCAACTAATAGTTTACACTTCGAAAAAAAAATTAAAAATAAAAAAATCCCCATTATTTTACCGCTGGCTAAGAAACTCTGATGAGTTGCATAAATACCCTCTCCTCCTTTTCATTTACAATGGTACTACCAAAAATGTGGGGAAGAGACACTAGCTTTCTGGGGTACTGTTTTTTTCTCCTCTCAAAGACTCTTTTCCAGCTAGGACTCTTTCCTACAGAGGGAGCGACTAAGAATAGCACCCAGGTAGCAGTCCAGGCACATTTCTGACTGTCATCAGTTTATGATTAATCTTAAAAGCAATATACTCTCAAGCTACTTGTTTAAAAACAGTAGAAAAAAAGCAATCTGGTTTTGCTCTAGAAGTTTTCATGTTCCCCTTTGCTTTTATGGCACGCAGTGATGTGGGAACTACTGCTACATCATGTATTTAAAAACGAAGAGTGTCCTCCTCTGCACTGGAAAACATCAGAGCTTTGCCACTGACTTCTCAACACAGAATGCGATGCCTGCAGGTCTGTTCAAGAAGGGACTGGCCCTGGGCAGTGCTTAATTCCTTCTGGGAAAAAGGAGAGGAGGATGCTCCTCATTGAGTAAAAGCATCATCGTTGCCGCCTGCCAGTTCACCAGCCTTGAACTCCTCTATCATTTAAAAAATAACAAGCAAGACTGTTTAAACTATCACATGATAAACTGCTTTAAAATCTAGTCTTGCCAGCTTCATGCTATCACTACAGGGCTTTTGCACACTCATGGGAGTGGGGGATTAAAACCTTTTCTTAAACACACACCCCAAAGATTGGTATTTCTTAAGAGGAATGGCACAGTGGCATGTCCAGAGCGTTATTGCTCTTCCACTTAAAAAAATGGGAAAGTGCTTTAGGTTTCAGGGAATGGACCTCACGTCTGGTTTCTTTACAGACAAAAAACCAGGGTATTCTCCATTTCTGAAAAGTAAGACTGAAAGGTGGAAAATATAAGAGTGGTACGTAATTCTGCAGCTCCCATTCATCTAATGCTCCTGTCTGTGGAGCTCACTGAAATAAGAAACAGGCTTCTGTGAACCAGTGACAGGACAATGCTAGATGGTAGCAAATTAATCAGTCATTCATGTTCTTATTTACTGTATTTTCAAAGAAATGTATATAATAGAAGGCCCAGTTATTAGCAAAGAAGGCCTCTTGCCAATCTCTTTTGCTCAACAAAATTATTTTCCCCTAGATTTTCAAGTAGCTTTATGATCCATAAATTATATACGGAACCCAGAAGGAATACACAAAGCTCCTTCAATTATTAATAACTAAATGCAATGTCATTCATGATTGTGCAGCAAGCCAGCTGCATTTGCTCTGTGATGGGTTCCCACTGCAGGGGTTGTCATCAGAGGATGCCAAATGCTTAAAAGAAGAAATCACCCATACTACACTAGTTGTAAGGTGAATTTATAACCAACTCCTTAAGATCAGTCATTACGAGGAAGCATGTGATGCATTTTAAGCGACAGATTCTTCATTTTTAGGGTAAATTTACATTTAAAGATGTTAAAAATTATCATAAATTAGCATAAAATTAAAGTTACTTGATTTTACTAGGCAGCTAATAGTCAGAGCAACATGGCTCAATAGAAATCACATGCTACTAATTTTCCATTAAAAAATAGCACTAAATTCTTGCTCCAAGGAAACAAACACAGGACAGAATAGGTGGGAACTCAAATGGGATTCCTACTGACTAGGTTATTAGCGAACGAGGCTTCTAACAGATGGGATTTAGATCAAGATGCCCATTTTCATCTTATTAGATCTACTCCTATTTGTTAGTTTGTGCTGAGAGACTATCAATAAAAGGAAAGCTACAGTTCCATGGAGCAGAGCAACCACATGCCAAAAAGACATCCCTGATTCACCCTGCGCTTTAATCCCTAGTGTTTGCTTTTGCATAAAGGGACTATAATTTGCATTCAAAAGCTCTGCCCATGGGACTTTCTCCAGATCCCAATCCTTTCAAAAACACATAGAAATAGAATGAGAGGCCTGGGGATTACCAAAGTGATGTCCCAGGGGAAGGTGTACTACTATGGGGTTAGCATCCCACAGGGAGTGACTGCAAATAGGGATGATGACAAAGAAAAAAAGAAGGGCACAGAAAGGTGAAAAAAAGAAATCACTTAAAAAAAAAAATGGGAAGAAAGGAAATACCAATACACTTCAGAAGAAAAGCATCTATGGTGGAACTGGTCAGGAAATGGATAGCATTTGCATCTCAGAAAAATCTGTGGATTTCACTTACATTTTGAAAGATTTCCAACCAGTTCTGCTTGGGGAAATAAAAAAAAGGAAGAGAAAGCAGGTCAAGGAGAGAATTAGCAAAGGATATCCACAGAAATGAAAATGAATTATACAGGCAGAGTGTTTCACAAGATCAAAAGTCACGTACCCTGAAAGTAAATTAATCTGATTTGTATCTTGATACGCAATAGCTCAAACATAGGATATGAACAATTACTTATAATTGATATTAGTAGATTAGTAAGAGTTGAATAAAGTAATATCTAAACCACTCATATTCCGTATGCGCTTGTGAGGCATTCTGAAGCTTTCTATTGCTCTTACACAGTCACATCCTCACTCAGAAATGGAGCTGTGATCTACTTAGTTCCATCCAGATCACCAGTGGACAGAACTCCCCTGGGTCTCAGGGGCCAGATTTTGGCCAGCTGAGTATTTCTACTCACAGTCCCGGTTGTAGCTCTAACTTTGTTACTGAAACAATAACAGATTTTTACATCAAGCGCTTGCTCCAATGTTAGCATTATTTTTAAATTACAGAGGGGAAGAAAAGGTATTAAGAATTCTGTGATTACTGTAACAGTGAGGGGAAATTTATTTCAAGTAATACCTTATTTTTTTCCCCATTTTTTGTTCAGACCTTTATTTCAAAATTTCCAGAACCTGATGTAGTTTCACAAGTTTTAAAGCAGTGGCTTGTCCTTTTGGGAAGCTCCGTGGGACAGTCTCTACAGCTTTTCATCCTGCTGACATGGACTATTTGATTTGTTTGAGGGATCTTAACCATAGTTATATGAATAAAAGTACCACACACAGACTCCTCTTAAAATATTTCAGTTTGGCTGTAGGACAGTGACACAGCCCCCAGAGGTAAGTTTTGCTGAAAAATGCTTACTGTGTTCCACACCAGAGACAGGTATTTTCCTTTGATGGACAAAGCAAACCTGTGGAGTTTAAATGTCACCCTGATCCTTCTGGATGGCAGATATTGTATACCCACAGGTGACAGGTTTGGTATGTAATTGGAAACACACAGGTAAAAGGTATGAAGAAAGCAGTACAGGTAAATTGGGCTTGTGGATTTTGACATTTGCTAAAAAACCCCAAACTACTCTTTTTACTGTCCAGGTACCATAATTTCAAAGGGAAATTCAGGACACTCAGAACTTTTAGCTACAGGTAGCTGAATTGTTACTTAAACATGCCAGGGGACAGGGGGATGAGCAAGCATATGAAAAGTAAGTGGTGCTCAGTTGCTGTATGATGAGATTCTATCAGGGGTTATTGAGTTAAAAGTCAACAACAACAAGTCGGTGGCACTATTGATAGAAGCTCTTACAAAGGTACTTCACAGCATAATTGTATGCAAAGGAGCCCAGTAAATGTGAGTCATGAACTGCCAGCAGAAGAAGTACTTTGTCAGTATCAACAGCAGATCTGAAGTTAAGACAAATGCAGCCCTCTGCATTTTGCAAAAAAGGAATAACCAAGTCAGCCAGTATTTTTGTCCTTTAGTTACTGAAGGATTCCTTCAGCTCCCAAGAATAACTCATCCTGCCTGTTACAGGTGGGAAGGGGAATGCAATGCAATAAGGACGAGCTGGGGTTTGTTAAACTAATCAAGCCAGGACTAAGCACAACAATTAAGAATAACTTTACAAATGTATAAAAGGAAATGCCTACCAGTTCCTTTACCTAAGCAAAAATAACCACTCACATATACTGTAAGTATATCATTATACTTATGCTTTGGCATCTATACTGCACAGGTTACTTATGTTTGGTTTATTTAATCAGTGCTTGAATGGCTGCTTCAAGAGAGGAAAAAATAACCAAAAATAAAGACAGGGTAAGAAATAAAGTCACCACAATGAAAGCTAGGCTTGAGGAAGAATCTAGTAATTGCCCTATAAATTCAAAGTAAAAATAATCATAGTAACAATCCTCCATCTTTGAATAAAGTTAGGCACAAAACTCATCACACCCCAACGATCAGGAGCTGCACGAGGAACCATGGCATTAACAGCAGAAGAACAACAGATATTTTAAAATCTACTCATGATAAAACTGGTAAGTTGTGTTAGTGTTGCATTTTGAGGTGTTTTCTTGGGTTTTGGTTGTTTATCTTTTTTTTTCAAAGTAAAGGAAGAGCAGGAGGCTGTGCCAGTGCGGATGCACTTGTTTTCCCGAGGGAACATTTTGTCTTGGAAACTTGAATGGAAAATTTTTTTACTTAGGGAAATTCCCTAGGAAGCTTGTGTTTGTTTGCAATTTACAGATAATTGTGAAATTCCTTGAAAAACTGGAAATGTTTGGTGAGAAAGGAGAATTGGGGTAAAAGAAAAAGGGAAAAAACCTAAGTAATTTCCCATTAATTTTTATTTTTAACCGTCAATAATTAAAGAAAAGAAAGTATTTCTAACGAACACTACCAAAACTAATTTAACCTATTACCTAGGCATAAGTGGCATAAGGAAGTTGTCCCTAAGTTTTCAACTAGCCTGAAACAATAGCTTGGATTCATTCTGGGGAAATACGAGCTAAAAAAGGGAGTTATGCAACGAACTCTATGCTGTCCTCCATCCTGACATTTCTGATGCCTCGACAAACAAAGAGAATGGCAAATCCAGCCAAAGCATCTTTACTGGGACTGGCTCTGCTTAGTTCCTCCCTAATCCTACAGATTTTACCTGCTCCTTACAGTTTCCCACCAAGATGGCTGTGAGCTCTTCTTGCCTCTTTTTCTTTGCTGGGCAGTGTGGTGGGATGGTGTTCTCGGCTGGCCTTCCCATCAGAACAGACCACTCAACAGGCCGTTGACTGGTCAGGACTAAAAGCACTTTAATCTGGCAAAAAAATGGGGAATCTTGGCCTACACAAAATAAAATGCACTGAAGACCAGAGCTTCATAAACCATGGCTTCCCTGGGACCCCATCTGAACACTTCAGTGGCCTCTCTAACAGTGAACGATTGGGGCAGAGGAAAAGAAAAAAAGGCCTAATAGATAAAAATTACCAAGGAGATTTTGTGAAACACTGCAGAATAACCTGGACCAAATTACAAGGTGTAAACCACGCAGCTGGAGAGATTCTCTGTGGAGTGAAATTCCATCAACCTCACCTCTGTGGATTTGCCCATGTGAGGCAGACGAGGCTGAGGCTCAGAACTGCACTGCAGGAGGACGGGGACACAGAGACACACCTCTCATGCACTGTGGATAACCCAACAAAATTACAGACAGCATGGTAGAGGATGTCTGCTGAATGCATGGAAATTGTTGTCAAAGAGCTCTAATATTATTCCAGCTTCCAAGCTTGAGCTCTTCCAAAGGGCTGGTGTAACTGGTAACACCTTACTCACACGGAAGGTGATTATATACAATAGAGCTTCTTGCACCTTGGCAGATGCACTGGCCACCTTCACAGAGACTATGCCTACTGAAGTGGACACAGAAGTCCTCCTTAGCAAACATCTGAAAGGTATTTTCCAATGGATACGTGTAGAAGAGCAAGAGCTCACCTTCAAAGCACACCCAGCTCCATGCTGCAGGTAAGGCACTGCTGGCTTTGCTTCCTTTCATTTAATACCTTTGTGAGTCACTATTTTCTTTTCTACATATCCAGACTATCACTGCGACTGCTTTTAGAGTCTCTCGGGGAACTGGAGGGGAATATGGTCTGCCAAAAATATGTATGATGGATCTCATGTTAGAGACATGCTCCACGCTGTGCAGCTTTGAAGCGTTATTTTCCCCTGCTGTCTTCGGGTGGGTCTGAGACTTGTCAGCCACAACATGGAAAATATGGATGGTAAACAAGCTGAAAGTGGTGTGAATAAAGTAAATAAAAAGCTACTGTCAAAACACATCCAATTATGCTCTGCTGTGGAGATTTAACACCAGAGGATGATTTTCAAAGTAAAAATAGTGTGGGATGGCTTTTCCATTTGTAGATTAGTTTGGAACAAAAGGTCTATTTGTGCAATTTAAGCCAAATGCACTACAACATAATGATGCTCTCCTCAATTGCTATTCTTTATTCATGGAAAGTGGTGGATTTGTAGTGTTTGTTAAATACTTTTCAGTAGGGTTTTTTAATCCAAACTACTTAATTCAATCATACTTTATATATAAGAAAATAAAGTAATTACATGTAATTACATGGGAACAGCAACACATCAATACCTTGTGCAGGAAAAAAATACGCTGATACATTCAGTCACACTCTTGAGAAAGAACAGCACCATAAACTTTCCAACTAAGGAGAACTAACACATCAGAAATCAGAGACTTCACATCTTAGTTTGGCCTCCTTCCTAACAGATTTGTCAAAACACTCCACCTAATTACAACTGCAAATTTAACCCAAGACCAAACTTTCTGTTACTGTTTTGACACTAAGGGCAGTCTGTGCCATGGGACAAGGTACTGCAAGTTATTCACATGCAGTTTGGGGGCAGCAAAACCAAAGAGCATTAAGATATTGAGGAAATAAACACAAAATGAAACAAACAGCTCAGACAGCAAGAAGTCCCAACAGAAGACCAGCACCTTACAGAAGAACCTATGTATGGTAACTAAAGAAAACCAGTTAAGAGGTTTAATTTATTATGCGAGGATTGACTACCAAGAAAACACTAGAGGTCCCCTATAGAAATAATGAAACCCACCTTTTTAAGGTGGTTTTAGGCCTTTCATTCGGCCCCAAAAGAACTCTTCTCAAGAAAATAAACATTTGAGTAAAAACTTCTTGGAAAGAAGTTGTCTGGCTTCTCAATACATTGCAGAGGCACATCATTTCTGCAGATAACTGCAAGAGGAGAACACACCTCTCACCAGCAGACCTTCCTCCTGGTGAAAGCTGGAAGGGGGAATCAAACCTTTTTGCACCTGAACACATCTAAAACCACCCACTGCCAGCCTGACTGGCCCCTCTACGGGCCATGTGAGCAGTGCTCCTGCTCTTAACTGTAAGAGCAGGCAGCTGCCAGGATGCTGTGGTAGATTCCTCCTGCTGCACATGAAAAGCAGAAGTTATTCTCATGAGATGCCACAAAAGCTCAACACAACAGGTCCCATTCCGCCCCATCTATCTGAGAAGAGAGGTAAGCACCAAGAAACAGAGTGTCATTTTTACAGTAACTGGTAACAGAAGTATCCAGGTTTGAGAGGACCAGATGATGTTCTGAGAGGCATGGTGCATTCAGACTGACCTTCTTCCTAAAGAAGTTCTGAAACCCCTCAGAGAAATAAGACAAAACTGCCTGCTGAACTTGCAGAGAGTCCTTTAACTTCTCAGAAGCTTTCAAAGCCTCTTCTCCCCGTCCGCCCCCTTCCCAAGGATGAGAAGAGGGGATATTGCAGAAGCCCTTAAATATGAGCAGACATCATGCAGACCAGGAATATATTCATAGCAAGCTATTTCTAATACTGCCTAAGGCTGGAGAAGAGAACAAAAAGAATTAGAAATGTCTGCATTAACTAATTATAAATGTTTTTCTCTGAGACAGAGCAAAAAGAACATAAGCAAGGGAGGGGTAAAATCCCTAATTTCTCAAATCTACATTAGCAGGTAGCTGGTAAAGAACCTGTTATACCTGCTGGGAAAAAACATGAGAAGTAGTCCTCGGAAAATGCATAAAATGTAACTATATATAGCCTTACAGCACAGCAATTTGAGGATGTCTACACAGAAGGAAGCTTTCAAGTGGCCTGGAAGGAAAAACAGTTCCATCTCCTCAAGTCCACCCTGACTATGGAAAGGGGCCTAAGCAGGAAATTCAGATAAAAGCAAGAAGGAATATTCAGACCACTATGTCCTGCAGTTAGCTCGGGCACCTCATAAAAATTATATGTAATTAATGATCCTGTAGTCCAACAGCTCTGCAATTCCCACTGGAGCAGAACTGAAGCCCTGGCTAAAGCCAGCAGCAGAGCCACTGAAGATGTTTGACCTCCTCCACCACCAGCAAGGCCAGACTGTGGTAAAGCAGGATGGAGAGGAACTCTGCAGACTTCTGGCAGATGACCCTCAGGGTGGCATCCCTTCAGCGCAGCAAATATGAAAACCAGCTGAAACAGCTGCCCATCAAAAAATATGGATTTTATTCCAATTAGTGTCTTCCCCTCTATGTATTTTAAGCATCAAGAGTATAGGAATGTCAAAGGTTCCCTCTCTTCATTGGATGGAAACAGCAGACCCAAAGGGCTAGACACTGATTCTGAAAAGGGATAAAAAATAATAAAGAGGAAATGGGAAAAAAATCCCAAGTAAATAGTAACAGAATAAGTAGCTATCAAGATACTTTATTTCAGTGCCTTGAGGCCATTTACTGAGATCAGAGGGTGTAATTGGAACAGCCCAGCGAAGCAGGGTCAGAGCTAATTATGAAACCCCACCCAGAAAACCCAACTGCCTGAGCTGAAATAGCTTTTGCAGATACTGGGAGATCTGAAAGAGAAGGGCACTGGCAGCGCACTTGACCAAATTAATCTCGGTTGTGACTGACTGAAAATGGAGCTACACCTGAGGCTAATTGTTCTTTCACCAATAAACCCTCACTGCTTGAAGTGAAGCAAAGCACTGAACCACAGTTCTTACTGTCATCACTAGGTGTCTCTTAATGCCCTGCTTTCTGGAAAAGTTGAGTATCTTCAAACAACATTTTAACCTTGAATGTTTTGGTATAACCTTGAAATAGAAACTGTAGTGAAAGAAACTGCCTCACAAAGACCTAGTGATAATTAACCTTTTGTTAATAACAAAACCACAGATACATGTTTAGGTATCTTTCAGCATTTGCTTTAATATTATTGATATTATTCTCGCTGGTATTTAATCCAGGAAAAGGTCTTTAGGAAAAGCGAGGGAGGAGCAGGAAAAGGCATTTGCACTTAGAAAAACAGGTCACTGTAGGAGGTTCTCACCATAAACTGCCTGCAAATTGCTAGTGAAAACAGAACTGCTTTTTACAAACCAGTGTGCAACAGACTGATACGCCGTAACTACCTCACAAAGAATGATAACCTAAGACTTTTTGGTGGCAGTTTTATTTCATGTAGAACCTCAGAAGTATTAGCAAGCAGTGAAGTATCTGTTGAGCAGAGCTTACAATACTTTTACATTCTCTGCAAAATACTCATTTACTTTAAAAAGATCCCACAATGAGCCACTCTTACCTTACTGCAACAGCCATGCTCCCTATAGGGTTGATTGGCAATGGCCTGGCTCCAGGAAATATTCCTCTACTCAGAACTCGAGCTCCATTTTGTATCACTCCCGGAGGAACTAAAAAAAAACAACAACAAAAAAGAAACATTTTTTCTTTTAAAGGAAAAGTTAGAAAAATGTAGGAGCAAAACGTGGAACTTAAGCTTTTCAATGACTTGAGAAAACATTAGCGAGGCTCGTGTAGTACACTGCTTACCTTGAACATCTCAGCCTCAGCTCTTGCGATATGCCATGCTGCTTCCAGTGCTATTTTCATGGCAGAACAATGATAACATGGCTTGTGGAAGCCACTGCCTGACCTAGTTGCTGCAGATCATGCCTTGTACAACCAAACCACTCCTGTTTTGTAATCGCCGTTCTGCTGGGAACGCACGTGAAAACCAGCTCTGAGCACAGATGTCACCATTTTGTCTACACTAAGAAAAAACAACCCTTTACAGATAAACAGAATATAAGCACTTCACTGCAAGAACGTAGGTCACTGCTTTTTATCATCCCAGCTTACTTTCTGAGCAGCCATCTCTTGACCTCTGTCTCCTGCAAAATAAAATATTAACTACAAATGTGGATTTACCAGGAAAGAAAAGAGAAGAAGCTAAGAAAGGCATTAGCTCCATAGCACTAATTAGCCCCTCTCTCTTGCCACCAATGACCTCTGTCACCCAGCCTGACAGCAGCCATGCAGCCAAGCCTCCTCCATCCAACGTGACCCACCAATGCCACCGACACTGAACTGCAAAGGTACTGGGCAGATGAGGGATTTCACCGGGGACTTTGAACTGGGCTGTGTGTCAAAAACTGAAGCTTTGGCCAACAAGATTTTAACCTACCACCAAGTGCTTTTTTCTATCCATGTTCCTGCGCGCTGCTCAGCCCAGGGCAGCCAACCCCCCAGCTGAAGGAACAGCAGAGGAGACACTCCTAAGCACCACCAAAGGGAGAGCCTGTCCTTAGCATTTTCCTCCTCCCTGGTGGAATGCAGGACTCCTGAACACCATTCTTATGCTTGGCTCACCAAGTCCACTTACCAGGGACTAACGCATAATGCCATTTATTTGCACAGCTATTATGTCCCTTCAGATGGGAACTGTAACCTACAACAGCTTCAACCTGAACTTGCTTCTTTAAACATCCACAGCTGGCCAGTTCGCTCACTTTTTCTTTATTCTAACTCATTATTCACACCGTGACTTGCCCTGATGGGGAATGCCCCAAAAGAGAATGATGAGCATTACTCTGGATGTAATATTTTTAAACACAGGGATGTTACATAAATATATAGAAGATAAATGTAAACCCTATCACTTTATGTACACCTACAGAATTTTATTTTTAAACAAACTACAGGGGGACTAGAAAAATCATTCAGCCTAAGAATCAACACATACACTTTACACACCCAACTTCAAATGCTCACACCTGAAAATATTAGTGTATTCTGAGGCAGAGAAATATAAGCTCAGAAGTACATTGTTTCTACGTTATTTCACCTTCCTGTCAACGCCAAGCCAGACCCACACCTCCCTCCCCGCTATCCTGAAGCTCCCCTTGCTTCACTCCAGACCACACAGATTAGTTCTGGGAAAATAATCTTCTTTCTCCCTCCGGTGAGAGCACATCACCCCCCTGACCAAACCCTGTCACTGCCCTACAGCCACCCTTGCTTTGCAGCACCTCTGAAGAACAGGGCATTTATATTTAGGTGCTTAAGTACAGCCTCAAATGGCTAAAATTACAGAACCTACTTTGTAACAGCTAGGGTCAGCTTTCAATGACCAAAATAATTTAAAAATTGCTTTTTGCTATTTATACTTCACTACTTTGTGCACTTTTTCCTCCAGCACAAGATTATGAGAAATCGATCAGATCTGCTTCACTCATGGGGCACTATCAGACTTTCCATGTTTGTGTTTGTAGATACTGTAGAGGAATGTTATCTTGCTAAAAACTCTAGAGGAAAAACTCCAAAATCTGAATTCCTTATTATATTTGTTTCAACAGCATGACCTCAAGATGGCTAAAAGACCAGTGGTATGAAAGAAAAGCTGTCTGCCCAAGGATACAGCTTAACCTAAAATGCACAGATAACAGGTAAATTGAAACCAACAGATAAACCTGCTAAATATCAGAAGATCGATAGAGTAGAGGTTTCTAAGTTACCATGTGGTACTGTCTTGGAAAGCTTCACATTTAACATCCACACCTCAACACCCCTCCAACCCCCATCTTCCCTTCAGGAATTAACAACTGTTTTGTTTATTTTTTTTTTTAAAAAGACAGTAGAAGTTTGCTGTCCTTTGAAAATACCCCCAAAACCACAACTTAGTACCTGCTCCTGCCACTGAAATTCACTTCCATGGTGTCTGTTCAGCACAGTTCCACCCATTGAAAGGCTTCAATAGGACTATTCATGTCAGAAGAGGCTTTAACTGTGATTCTGTGATTCTGACTTTCCTCTGAAGTACACCACACCTTTGGATATTGAAACCACCACTCAGAATTCAGTAACTATTATTTCAGCTTGCAACAGCAGTGTTATTGCTATTTATTTTTGTTTCCCAAATCTCTGATTTATGCTGCAGCAGTACCACTACATCACCAGTGAGCTTATGCAGACAGACAAACAGAAAGGTTGTATGGAAGGGATGAACTGAAGGAGGACACTGGACGATGCAGTGTATCCTTTCAGCAAACATCTAGGACCATAATGGAAAAAAAAAAAAACATACAAAAACCCACCACAACTTGCTGATAAATTAATTTCTGTAGCATTCTAAACCCAAAATGCAAAGCAAGATCAAAATAATTCAATGGTAGAAGGGATTAATTTCTAGTTATCCACATAGCCAGTGTGCCACTGTAAGACTGATCTCTATTGCTCACGCATCTCTACTTAAAGCATTTAAAGCACCAATACTCATCCTTCACAAAATGACAGTAATTACTTTATTTTTAAACAAAAATCTATCTATATAAACTGCTAATACATTGTCCCTGGTATCCAGACACTTTCCCTGCCTTTGTGCAGGCTGTAGAAGATGGCTGCTTACTATCCATGGAACTGTTTCCACGTGCTGGTACTTTTGAAGGGTTGTGGATTATTGACTGGAAAATGCACGGTGCTTTTATTCCAGAGATACATTTATGTCTTACAAACTTTAATTACTTTTCAAAACCATACTTTGAGGTGAGGTATTTATATTTTAGACTAAAGATTCAAGGTGTGGAGCTAAGATAATTCACTCTAAGCCGTATCATCAATCAGTGCCACTCTGGACTAACACCTTACAGTCCGGACTCCTCTTTTCTAATGCTTCTTTACCCAACAGTACAGGCAGGTCACAGGTTCCCAATTCCTAGGCAGAAGTGTGAAATGTAATTTACACCTTTGAGGCGTTTATGTGTGAGAAACTCAGCTCAAGAAAACAATGCAAAAAGATCTGTGCCATCTCTTTGATGGAGGTTCCCCCTTTCACAAAATGCTCCTAATGAAATGCAAGGAGTTTGAAACAGCAAAATCATTATTCACCTTTCAGCTTTCATCACTGAAGGATGGAAGTGAAGTTCCAAGGAGGCACTGGATCTCATTCTGCTCTCAGGAAGCTTAAACCCAGGAGGCATTTTCTGGAGTAGCGTTAAACCACGTACAGAGAATCTGCCCCTGATCAGCTGCGTGAGTGGGTGAGTGATTTTTGGCTCTTACGCTGCGCTGGTGGAATTCCACAACCTGAGTAGGATCTGCTGACATACCAAGTCTCCACAAGCTAACGGCGGAGAGAGGCAACTCATCCCACGTCAAAAAGCAAGACTGAAATTCTCCAGGGGGGAAAATAATCTGTCTTTTGTAGCAAACTCTCACATTACAGTTTAACCGATAATAAAGTGAATGCCATGTAGGAGAACACACCATAATCCGAACCCATCAAAACACTACGTTCAGATCGTGTTAAAAGTATCCAGCAGAAGCCCTGAAAAATCCAAAGTTGTTTTGTAGCCTGTACTCAGCCTGTGGAGGTGGAACGTAAGCAGACGGGCACACGATCACTCCACGACTGCACGAGTGTTTTAATCAGTGCATGGTCTTGTATGCAAATTAGCAGAGTAGAACATCCCAAACCATGGACTTCTTTCATCACATCCCTCAACAGATTGCATCCATAATGTCTTACTTGCCAAGTCTGCGTGCAGGTGAAGCAAACTTCCCCCAACCAGCTGAGCTACCAACCCCATCCAAGACTTTCACAACAATCAAACCCTTGTTAGACTGGGTCCTTCCCTGAAGATTTGATTGTCTAACACACAATACAGCAATTTGGCAAAATTGAAATGGAAAAGAAAGAGAAAATAATTGATAGAGTCATCAGACACACTGACACCCTAGCAACTCAATAAATAAGGAAACCAACTTCTCGGTTAAATGTTGGCACATGGAAGTCAAATGAAGTATCAGTGCTAAGAGTGATTTGTTGTAAATCAAGAAAATTAAGAAGAAAGGGGGACCAAACATTCTTTATGTCATCTGGGAAACAAGCATGCACTTCATTAAACTGTCTAGCTCAAGGTAGCCAATATTTAGGCTACTGACAAAGACTGAATAGCATTTCTTGAAAATGAATTTTAAAAAAGTGGAATATTAGAGCATGAAGGTATCCTGTAGGGACAGACTGGTTCTCTGCCTCTTCTGTCATCCTGTGGCACATGCATTTATCTCAGGGCTCTCTTCCCTGACCCATCTCTTGCAGCACAGAAGTCATCGTAGCCCCACACAGAAATCATTATAGACAAGAGGTACCAAATTTCTGCTAATATCTGTCAGCTTCAGCTTTTTTCTGCCAATCTCCCTTCCAGGACAGTGTTTAGCAGAATATTTTATCTCAGGCTACAAGAACTGAAAATAGGAAATTGCTAATGATGTATAATTGATGGGACAGTAGAAGTTGCCAAAAGCAAATGTTATCTGCCAAATGTATAACTTTATTCACTTCAACTCTATTATCCTAGGCATAAATTTGATGCCATCTGCCTAACAACTTCTATTTTACTGCTCAAAGACAATT